ATCTGAGTCCACTGCTTCAACCGAAGTGGAACCCAAGGTGTAGGATAACAAATCCGAAGGAAAACGCCCAAAAGTCGCCCGGAATGGAGAAGTTCCAGTACACCGGTTATGAGCAGTATTGTAATGAAACTCCGCCCAACTCAAGAACTTATGCCACGCAGTCAGATTCTCATGAACAAAACATCTGAGGTACTGTTCCAAAGTTCGATTAACCCGCTCCGTTTGACCATCCGTCTGTGGGTGGTAAGCGGAGCTAAAATGCAACTGTGTGCCCTGAAGTTTGAATAGAGTTTGCCAAAACTCACTGAGAAAAATAGGGTCTCTGTCAGAAACAATGGAACGGGGAAGGCCATGCAACTTCCCCACCGTGTCCCAAAACACCGTAGCTACTTTAGATGCAGAGTATTTCGTCGGTAAAGCCGCGAAATGGGCCCCCTTTGTAAGTCTGTCCACCACCACCATAATCGCCGTAAACCCAGATGAAGTTGGAAGATGTGTGACAAAATCCATTGTTAAGTCGGACCATATGAGTTCCGGCATGGGTAACGGCTGTAGTAATCCGTAGGGGCCATGATTGGGCGATTTAGCTTTCTGACACACTTCACAGTGTTGAACAAACTCCTGAACATCTTTCTTCATTTTGTTCCAGGTGAACTTGGCTGCTAAACGGAGGAAAGTACGTCGAACACCTGCGTGGCCCCCAATTTTGGAAGAGTGGAAGTCATGTAGCAAGAGTGGTATCAGTGATGAAGCTGCTGGAATGTACAACCGGTGATGATGAAAAAGCAATCCACTTTGGAGCTGCCAGTGAGGCCATTTAGATGCATTGGATTGTAATTCATTACAAATTTGTGCAGCATAGGGATCTGCTTGTAAATCAGTCTGTATGATGGAACTATAATGAGATGTAGGTGTAGACAAAATCAACAGGGTGGGGACCGTGATAGGAGAAGTCCCCTCCGGTTGGCGCGACAAAGCGTCAGCCACAATATTATGTTTGCCAGATTTGAATTGAATTGAATAGTTGTAGCCCAACAATTTCGCGAGAAATTGTTGTTGCTCAGGAGTTTGGATCACTTGTGTCATTAAGTGATGCAAACTATGGTGATCCGTTTTGATGATGAAAGAGGATCCCAGCAAATATTGGCGCCACTTGGCAACAGCCGAAGTGATGGCGTACATCTCACGTAGATAGGTAGATTTCAGTTGCATGAGCTTGGAAAGCTTGCGACTAAAATAAGCAATAGGATGACTATCCTGCAACAATACAGCCCCAACGCCAACCCCTGAAGCATCAGCTTCCAAAACAAAGGGTAGCTGAAAATTTGGCAACGCTAAAATGGGAGCGGTGGTAAGGAGATGCTTAAGAGAAACAAAAGCATGCTCAGCTGCTGAAGTCCAATGAAAAGCATCCTTGGCCAGAAGATCAGTAAGTGGGGCAGCAACCATAGCGTATCCACGAATAAAACGGCGATAATAACCAGAGAGTCCCAAAAAAGCTCGTAACTGCGTTACAGAATTAGGAATCGGCCAATCACACACCGCCTGGACTTTGGAAGGATCCGGACTAAACCCAGCTGCCGAAATCACGTGGCCCAAAAATTGGATCTCCTGCACTGCAAATAAACATTTATTCATTTTAACAAAGAATTTATGTTGCCGCAGGATCTGTAACACCTGAGTTAAATGATCTTCATGTGCTTGTAGAGAAGGGCTATACACCAAAATATCATCAAAGAAAATGACAACAAAACGACGCAAAAACCTAGTGAATATGTGATTCATAGCGGCCTGAAAGGTAGACGGGGCATTAGACAGCCCAAAAGGCATCACAAGAAACTCAAAGTGACCGCTATGGGTTCGAAATGCCGTTTTGTGAACATCCAGTGGATTCATTTTTATTTGGTGATAGTCTGACCGAAGATCAAACTTTGAAAAGATCTGGGCACCATGCAACTCGTCAATCAGTTCATCAACTGTAGGACTAGGAAATTTATCCGGAATAGTAATGGTATTAAGGGCGCGATAATCAACACAAAAACGCCACGTCCCATCTTTCTTTTTGACCAAAATAACCGGTGAACTGAAAGGTGAACGGCTGGGCTGAATAATACCAGTATCCAACATTTCAGCAACCATTTTCTCAATCTCCGTCTTCTGAAAATGTGGATATCGGTAGGGTCTTACTTGAACAGGTTTCGAGTTTGGGAAGAGGTTGATGGAATGATTACAGTTTCTGTCAGGGGGTAAAGATGAAGGGGTGGCGAAGACATCTTGGAACTTGTGTAAAATTTGTTGAATAGAGGGAGGTGTTTGGGCTTGAGCGGGTATAGAAAGCTGGTTTGGTACATTACTAGTGAGACACATAAAACATGAAGAGACAGATTTCTGGACCATTAATTTGTGGAACTGAGCATTAGTAATCGGTGTGGGTGCAATATTTGAGTTGCCATGTAAAATGACTGTAGTGGCCAAATGTTGAAAAGTCATAGTCATTTTAGAATAATCTGTGACAATCGGCCCAAGAGTCGCAAGCCATTGGACCCCTAATATCACATCCGCCCCTTTGAGATCCAACACATAAAGATCCACAACAAAAACGTGGGACTGAAGCATTAAAGAGGCAGCAGGACAAAAAGCATGACACCGCAGAGCATCTCCATTGCCCACCTGTACAAGGAAAGGGGACACCTGTTGCAAGGTGAGATCAAGGAAATTAGCCATACGCTCCGTTATAAAATTGTGGGTACTACCCCCATCCACCAAAATTTGAATAGGCTTCCCTTGTAGTGACCCTGTGAGACGAAAAGACCGCGAGCAGTTGTGGCCAAAAAGAGCATTGAGGCTGATTTCGGAAGTAATATCATGCGTAGGGAGTTCAACAACCTCCTCCTGAAAACTATCATCCGGATCAGCATCTGTTCCTTCCATATACAGAAGAGTAGCACGACCCTTACACTTATGACCAAAAGAATATGGTTCGTCACATGTATAACATAAATTCTTCTCACGTTTCACCTGCATCTCAGTCGGAGAAAGCCGACGAATAGGAATGGCAGCCAATGGACCCGAAGAGGGCAGAGAAGAATGCGGTTTGTTGGTTAAGCTTAGAGTAGAGCTTATCTGGTTCGGTGGAGGTTTTGGTGGATTAGACCAGGTGCGCGAAGGTTTATAGTCAGAAGACTGATCCTCATACACACGTGCCAGAGAAAAGGCCTCATGATAATCTTGAGGTCTATGAGTCAAAACAAGGCGACGTATATGGGCCTTTAAACCAGAAATAAAAATGCTCCGTAGCAAAGGAGCTGTAAGGCCAGGCACCTTACTCACTAGTTTTTCAAATGTGGATTGGTAATCCAACACAGATCCAGTTTGATGAATTTTAACCAAGGCTCCTGCAGGATCATCAAATTCAGAGGGCCCAAAACGGCGAAGAACAGTCGTGCAAAACGTGCGCCAATCAGGCATTAAACCATTTTGATCTGAACCATAAAACCAACTAGCAGCAGGTTCATCTAAATGGAAGGCAGCTAAATTTAAACGATCTGGTAAGGGAACCTGGTAGAAGGTGAAATATCGTTCCGCAGCCACGATCCAAGTAGTTGGATCACCTGACGAAGAACGAGAAAAATCAAGCTTGACTTGGCGCGCTCTGGAATTATCATTACCATGCGGACCAGAACCCAAAATTCCGCGTCCCGGAGAATTTTGTTGCAACTCCAGAAGACGAGCCAGATCTACATGTAAACGGTTCTGAGATTCCTGTAAGTGGAGATAGGACTCCTGCAACTGAGAGTTGGATTCTTGCAAACCCAAATACTGTTGTGCACGAACAGTCTCTGCAGCTCGGAATTGTTCATCCAAAGTTTCAAAACGCTGTGACAGATCCCTTAAACGCGTGTTTTCAGCCATAGCAGGTAGGTTGAGGAGCAATGAAAGCACCAATGAAGGGGTTTAGTTCAGATCTGGAAGATAGAGAAAGAGAGATTCAAAGGTGAATAACCGTTTAGAGAGAAGTAAGGAGGAAGAGAGAGAATTGTCCAATCTTTTCTCTCTATTCTGTTACGCCCCCAGGGCTATTTAATATAGTTTTTCTTACAATGCTTTTCTATTACACTGTTTAACTACTCAACTCATATCTATTTCTAGACAATGGGCCTTACAAGTATTTAAACACTATGGGCCTTACAAGTATCCTTACAAGTATTTAAAGACAATGGGTACAAGTATTTAAAGACAATAGTCCTTTAAGTACGCAGGCTTTCTTCTATTGCGATTGGGCTTTCCTTGATTGGGCTCACCCACTTGGGTCACAACAGATGTCCACGTACCCTAATGCACGCTGAATTATTCCTTTGAGTAATCAATGCCTTAAACTAAAAAAGAAAACAGAAAACAGAGAATGCACTCCACGATCCCATCACATGAAGCAAATAACTTTGATTCCACACAATGAAAAATAAAGGTCAATTTTGGGGTTTCTTGTCCCCCCCCCCTCTATTTTAATAAATCATTACCTATGTTCCCCATGAACTTTACTTACCCTATATGTTATTAGGATTTATTGTTTCTCATGTTGTACAAGATAAATTTATCTTCTACACACATAAAAATATATAGTGCCCGTATTTTCTTTTTATCTCTCTTCTCTTTACATGAGCCTCACACATTTTTATGTGTGTATAAAAGATAAAATTTATCTCTTACAAACCATTAAACCCATGTTATTATGCATGGAATAGTTTTGCAAATTCCACCAAATCTTCCTAGATTTTGAAGTTTGTTCACCTTTCTCAACCTTTTGATATGGGATGTGTTCACTAAATTCAATGAGGCAAATTAGGAAAAGTGAACAAACCCCTAACTATATAGGTGGGTTAAGTGTAATTTACCGAAATATTAATGTCTCCTATCCAAACTACTTAGGCAACTTGAAATGGAAAAGAGTAGGACAACCTAGTTTTAACAGAAAGATGAGTTGGACAACCTATTGTGCTGTTTTGAAGTCAATTCCCTCGAATTGTAACATTTTGTTGTTCATATACTACACTTAGCTCAATTTTGCACTAAATGGCAATCACAAAAGGAGGGGGAGGCTATACATAGAAAATCTGACCAACATTTAAGAGACTCTCATGAGGAACATTGAAGATCACACTATTTTCCCTGCATATCTTCCTAAGAAATGCATAAATATAATCAACAGCTATTTTCTTGTAGAATCTTGAATCCCTCCTTGCCCTCACAACAGTGTTTCCTAGTATGTGAACCACCCCGGCATCCCTGCAGTTATTCAAAAACTCGAGTTCGTCAACCTCGGTCTGGCTGCTTACTTGACCGGAGGATCTGACAGTGATATTCACATGTGGTGGTGATATAGCTGGTACTATTGAATCTACTGAGGAAATTGTTAAATCCACATTGGAAGAAGCTGTGTTTCCATTGTTATTCAACAGGCCATCTCTTGACCGCTCTGTTTGCTGTCCATATAAACTGTATTCATCTGAATCTGAACATCCTTCCATCATAGACTCGAGCCGAACAAACATGAAGAGGTTATCAAAGAGTTTTTTCTCAAAATCATCATCTTTCTTATGCAGGTCTTTATAGCCATACCGTGACACGCACCGAAAGATGTGGAAATTCTTAGGTCCAATCCTCTTGACAAGGAACCTCTCTTCTTCTGGGACTGTGTAGACAGGAAGGTATTTCACACAAACGAAAACAACAACAGAATGGATGGCTGGTAGGTTGGTGATGAAATGAGAAAAGATGGGGGGCACTCCACTTGCAAGTTCTGTGTAGACTAGTCCGATTCCAGGGACGCGAACAAGACCTAAACTCGGGCCAAGTCCAAGAACCCATGCCATTGAGACCTTACTATGCATTTCAAACTCATAGCGTTTCACTGTACCATAATGCCAAACAGACATAATAACAAGAAATGCTCCAGCAATTACAAGGGGAACCCACCCACCCTGATCAACTTTGAAGAGTACTGAGGAGAAGTATGTGCATTCCACAATCAATGATAAGCCAGTGAAGATGAGGACAAGAATCCAATGGCAGCGCCACACTAAAATCATGATTAAAATCATAAGGAATGTTGTAACCAGCATGACTATCACAACTGCAGTCCCTGTCATGACAATGATAAACTAAACAATTGAATACACTTCACTTAAAGAAAGGCTGCAAAGTGACATTGTAAAACATAGGTGCAGCATTAAACATGTCCACAAGCATTTAAAAGTTCCTTAAACTGCATATTGTATTGACACACGAAATGCAAATCTACTTAAACATTTAGATGTAAGAATTAGGGAAGGGCCCTTAATAAGACTATTTGAAGCATTTGCTTAGAGGCGTTGATGTTTGAAGAGCCTATATATGTTTGTAGGAAAATATTTTGTTGCTTTAATTCTCTCTAGTCTTAACATTGAAACAAGACTTTGAGTCTACCATCATGCCTTTTGCTATAGAAGTCTAGCCAGTTGGTTATGCATTGCCCTGTGGCTCGGTGTTCGCAGCATAAGTTATAGGAACTTTGGGCAACAAGGTTCTCAAAAACTGGGTTTTACCCAAAACAATAAAAGCATATATACATATATATGGGTTTAATGTTTCTCCTACATACTCATGGTAGTAGATGAGACCATGTGAGGAGAAGAGAGAGAAAGAGAAAAAGTAATATCCACCCACTCCAATGTGGGTCCAGGAGAAACATTAAAACATATATATAGGGCGTTTTGGGAATTTTGCTTCTATCTTGCAACATGAATTTTCCCAAAATGCCTTACATTTTTTTCCGAAACCCCAAAACGATATCATTTTGGGGTTGCAATTATCTCCTATGACATGAGATCATTTTACACTCCACGTGATATTTTGGCAATAAGACTATTTTGCATCACCCCAACTAGTTTGGGATAAAAGTGATGTTGATATTGAAAACTATTTTGCATCACAAATGTGTACTTCTCATGCCTGACATTAAAAATGTACATAAAGCAAATGTGTTCAATAGCATAAAAATATTCATCATAACATTCAAAAAGGGAAAAATTTACCATATGCATTTCCAATCTGGTTTTGATTTTTGAACCCAGCAGTAACGGCAATGCAAAGAACCATAAGGATCCAATTAATATCTGGAACATATATCTGGCCAAGGAATTTCTTTGATGTATACACAACTTTAACTCTAGGGAAACATCCATGAGCAAGGGCTTGCTTAATAATCGAAAAAGTTGCAGTTATTGTGGCCTGACTTGCAACTATGGCTGCCGCAGTTGCAACAACAAATACTGGCCAATATATTCTATCTGCAGAACTAAGGATAATCAACATCTAAAAGATAAACAATTACTACATGAAGAAACAAATATGCATCATTCTAACAGACAAATAGACAATTTTTGTAATAGGTTTGTCTCTAAAGATATTGTATAATATCAATCAGTAAGGCAAACTAGTCCAAATCACTGAATCAGAGTATTCAAACAGATTGGACGCAAGCTTTTGCATCAGGAACAAGATACTATGGCAGTTCCACTCAGGCACATACCACAGCAAGATGCAATTTAATCCAGGCAGGGAAAGAAAACACAAGAAAACTTTGGCAGTGAAAATCCAAGAATCCACCGTAAAATAACATTTTAGAAATGAAAATTGTTTGAACCAGAAAGGAGAAATTTAAAAATAAACACGGCCCTCCACTGAAAGCTTTCTATGTAATGGTTAACTAAGGTTTGACCTTATCATTTAGGGATGTGCAGTATCAGCTTCAATTCATTCAAGTTGTTAGGAACTTTTTAAGTTTGTTACGATAAGCAGAATGCAAGGAAGATTATTTTAACATTGATGTTCATAGAATATATTGCAAATGTGTTAGGGCTCTAGAGCTTAATGTAGAAGACAAAAGAATGGAGAATTCAGTAAAGAATGATGTATCTGTTATTGGAGAATGAATGAACAAGGAGAATACTCCTTTGCACGGGTCGCCCCTTCTCAACTGAGTTCCAAGACTCCATTCTGCTAACAATCTCTCTGAATGCTTTCTCTGTACAGCTTTCCCCCTATTTAACCACCTATCCAACCACCAAACAGAATTGGCATTTCACTAACAACCCTGTTTAACAATCTTAACCTCTTTAACTGCTTTTATTTCCGCGAACATACACTTTCCAAGTCCCATCTTTATCAATCTGAACCCTAACACAATGACTTCTAATCAAGTCATCCCATGGTGCCAACAATTGGAAAAAGAACAAGAAATAAATGCATTCCAAAATATACAGAGAAAATTATCATAGAATATTTAACATAAATTCAGAAAGAGGGAAGCATCCATTAACTACTACAGGTACGTCACAAATGGAAATTTCAAATATAGAGTGAAAAGTTTAACTAACCTGGAATAGAACGATAAAAAACATCTTGTGAATGACTCAAGTTATTCATAAGGTATGCAGCTTGTCCAGAATAGGCTAAAAGAAGGCAAGGAAACACAAGTAGAGTAAATGCAAGTTGTACAGCGGAGACGGGAAAATGAGCTAGGTCAGCAAAAAGAGCCTCTGTCCCTGATAAAAATCATCACAAGTTATCAAGTACAAAATAATAAATATTCCCTTCATATGTTAATGATTCTGAAATACAAGAAGGAAACCAACAGCAACAAAAAGTTAATTTTTACCTGTTATGCTGAGCATGATACCTCCAAGGGAAGTCCAGCCTGTTTTTCTTCCTCTTCTAAAATAGCGATATATGTACACCGGAGAAAAAGCTTTTAGAACACTGCTTCCATACTTCCGGATGTTAAATATACCTATACCTCCAATTAGAAGAAACCAAAGGAGGACAATTGGAGCAAATAGCCAACTAACTTTATCTGTGCCATAATGTTGCATGCTGAAAAACCCAACTAATATTACGACAGCAACCAGCACTACTGTACCTGTAGCCCAAACAAAAAGAAGATTTTCAAGACCTATGAACTTAAAATTAGTTGAAAACAATTAAGTATTGCCATACATAGCGGTAGAAATAGAAGAAAAATGTCTTGTTACAGGAATAGGACCATACCACTACTCATACCGGGCTGATTTACCTTGATGCCACCAGCAGCTGATAAAACTACAACAACAGATGTGGTTACGAATCTCTTGAAATAACTAGAAATGTACTAAAGTTTAAAGATAATACTCAAGGGGGAAAAAAACTAATTGCAGTGAAAACATGTAGTCTGGAGCCTTTTGCAATACAACATGCATAAAATACAAATGGAAAAAGAAAAAAGAACTCGAGAAATAATCAAATTCTCTTAATCATCCAGACTCAAGTTTTTATAACATATTTTCTTTAATAAGTAATAATGCTTTAAACAAGAACCCCAGGGGCACAACTTATGCATGTACACCTGCTAGTGAAAAAAAAAAGTATCATAACTAAGCTAGAATGCTCACACTTCTCAAAAATCCACAGATGCTAATGGTATACATATATCAAGGAGAAATACAACCAGTGGCGGACGCAGGAATTTTAATAAGAGGGGGCGAAAATAAAAAATACTATATCATAAATATAAGTACTTGAAATACAATACAAACTTAATATACAAAAAATTGAAAGAAATCTATTACAAAAATTAATATCACTTCACTTACTTTTGCTCTACGTGTTTTCATATTATTAAACTCAAATATAATTGAATCCGTGCTAAAACTCAAAATAATTATTTTTTTCAAAATATGTAATCAAAGATAGTTTATGACTATACATACATGCAAATCTTAGAAAGGTGGAAGTTGATTCTGCCTGGCTTTAGAATTTATACAGCCAAAATTGAAAGGCTGGAGAAGAAGGTTGGTGATGGACGGAACACAGAAAAGAGAGAGAGGATGATATGATGTTCTCAAAGAAAAATATGGGTAAGAGTGTGGATAGATGCATGGTGAACTGAAGAAAAAAATGTGAACAACACGGTAATTTCATCATCACATTTTTTTACATATATTATAAAAAAAAAAATTCCAACTTTTAGAGGAGGGCGGGAGCCCACCCTAGCCCCCCTACTGGGTCCGCCCCTGAATACAACCACAAGGATTATCAAGCTCCAAATCATGCCTTGCATCAATTTATCATCTTTTTTTTTATCTTTTTTATTTCTGACTCATTTCATCAACCTTTGTATAACGAAATCAAGCTCATATTAGCATATCAAACAATACAGAAAACAGTGTAAAATATACAATAATGCTTAAGCTTAGAAAATCCCACTATCAAATGACCCAGCCCACCCTTTTACTCAAATAGGAACATCAACAATGGCTGATTTATCTGCTGCAGCGGAGAATTTTTAAGAGAAGATAAATACCACAGCCCTATGTGTTTCGAGTGGATTGTATCCATATCAAAGAACAATTTAGTTTTTCTCAGGATCTTTCTAAAATACATATGGTGTGAGAATCAGATAAAAGATGACATATTTTACTTCTCCAAAGTGATGACTGGAACAGAGTATATCGTGCACATCACCAATATATGGGGAGAACTATCAGTGTAGGTGTAACTCATGTGGAAACTGAACTAGTAACATGCCAATCAGCAATACATCTATAGAAACAAATGACATGCTCCTTAGAATAAAATTAATGAATCAAGTAAGAAAAAAGACAAGGTTTCTAAGTAGTGTACTAAGATCATGTATTCCTTCTCAAGTTTCAATTTTAAACACATCTTTGCTGCTGAGTCTATTAGTACCAAGTAATATACAAGGCTATTCAAAATCCTATCAAGTTGTATCCACGTCATTGTGCTCCTTTATCATCCCACAAAATGATTTATTGATTTCCTTTCACAGTTAGGTAAATCTGCACAAATGTGCATACATAACATACTGAAGCATATGTACTTACTTGCAGGTAAGTTGACATTAATAGATATATTTAAAAAAAAAAATGGGAACAAGAGGATCAGCTTCAGGGAGAAGGCATACCAGATATAGCTGGGGTAAGAATCCCATCTCCAATAACCATGCAGGTGCCAACGAGGACGAGAATAAGAATGGCACTCTTCCTAGATTCTTGTTCCTCTAACCATCTTTTTGTTTTTGCAGCAAATGATCTTTCATGGAAGGTAGACCGGCTATACGTTGTTAGCTCTTCATCAGTTCGATGCTGGTTGGGAATGGTTTTTATCTTTGCATGTCGGCAAAGCAAGGAATAAAGTGCAAATGTTCCACCTGCTCCATAAATGTTAGTTCTGTAAAACATCGTTGCAGATCAGCAGTGTGAAACTGGAATATCTATCTAATATGACGTATATGAAAAGCTAATGTATTTTACTTACAGTTATGAAAGGAATATGGACAGTTTATTAATTAAAAAGAAAATTGGTGAAAACTCAGACGTCATTCATTCTATACCAGACTATATGTTTGTTATACCTGGCTATAAGAAATTGTAACAATGAATAATAAAGTTCTGCATACAGCCCGGGAAGGGGGAAATTTTTGGTATTAAGATATCCATCTCTTTTCAGATTTGTATCTGTCGAACATTATCATATGAGATGCAAATATTTTCTACACAGAATGTAGGCAATGGGAATCTTTAGGGTCTATTTGATTGCGTTCTGGTTTTTTTGTTATTAAGACTGTTTTGTAGAATAGTTATGGAAACAGGTGTTTTCTGTATTTTTTGTTTTGAAAGTTAAAAGTTAAAAGTCAAAAAACAAAATGAAAACAACTCAGACATGTTCTCTAAATTTAATTCCAAAAACAAAAAAGCAGTTACAATTTTTAATTTTTTCTTACAAAACAGGCATTATCAAATAGGTTTTTTTGTTCTGAAAACCAAAGAACTGTTTTTAGAAACAGTATTCAAACAGGTCCTCATGGACAGAGAAATATCATTAAAAATGAAGAAATGGTGCCAATTGTCACTTTATGAAGTTATAATATAGTACTAACTATTTCCTAAGTACAATCGCTAAATATCTCAAACACCAAAAATCAATAAAACAATCTATACCTTGGCCATTGTCATTTGCTCTTAATACAACAAAAACATATTTGAGGAGCGGCACCAAAGTAAGAGAGTAGATGATCAAAGAAAGAGCTCCAATTACATCCTCCTGATCTTTCACTCCATTAGGAAATGTATTGTAGAAAACATACAAGGGTGAAGTGCCCAAATCTCCATAAACCACACCAAGACTCTGATATGCAAGCCGTAGAAGCAACAATGCAGAAAATTTCTGAACAAATCAAAACTACATCAACAAGGAATCATATACCAAATCCCATTAGCTTACATAATAGCTTACTATTGCATCTGTATAACAAAGAAAAATCTGGATCTCTTAGTCAAATTGAAATTTAGATATGTACTCAAATTGCTTTAAGTATCTGTTTTTGAAATGAGATTAGTGGTATTATTTCAATCCACAGAGGGTCTTTCTTGATTCTAAGGAAAGCACTCTTTTTTTCATTCAAATTGTGTTCAGATGAAGTCCTTGTCACTGTCAGCAACTAACATTATGTATTAAGCGCTGAAATTAAAAAGAAGGGCTAAATCAAAATTATAGATTCCTAAATGAAATTTCAGGCATCCTTTGGAATAGGGAGAGACATAGGAAGATAGATACATTAATTAAACTTTTTAATTCTGGACTGACAAATCATCATTACAAGTATTGATTCCTGCATAAATTAAGAATGCTAATTAGAAGTAATAAATTCCATTTTGTTTCCTCAATAAAATAAAATACTAAAAAAAAAATCAACAAAGTGAAAGAGAAAGAATGTTAAACTAAGTTGCAATGCTGCATCATACTTTTTCTCTGTACATATTTCTGAGCCTTCCTGCCTCTTCATCCATAGGCTGGTCAAGCTTCTGATCCAAAACCCACATACTACCTTTGTTATCATCATCTTCATCGGTCTCTACTCTTGAAGCCATTTTGAGCTCAGTTCAATAACTTCCAACTAATAACAGCTATGCAGTATTATATCCCTTTTCCTCAATTCATCTACCCTTTAAGAAAAATACACAGAAAATTTTGACAACAAAACCATCAGGCTTCAAATTTGAACTCACTTGAAATCCATGCCTATTGCAACCACAGATTCAACCTACCCATAAAATCCGGAAAAGTAAAGCAAAATTGAAGATTTAACCGAGTGGACCATGCCATTTTTGGAAAAAAATAAAAAGAACAACCCAATTTCAAAAATCCACATAAAATCTATACCCTTATACTGATCCAGCCTTAGACTGTTGAAAAACTTTAGCAGAACTAAGAACAAAAAGGTTCAAGCTTTGCCAAGCCTACATAGAAAAACATAACAGAACTTAAATTAAAGATTGAGAACTAGTTTGAACTGTCAAATATCCATTATAAAATCTCAAACTTGAAACCCAGAAATGCAAATTTGATCCATGTAACCAGACCCCATTAAATGGGAAAAAGGAAAAAATCCTTGTTTCTAAGTGTTAGCTGAAACAAGCCTCACCTGTTGTAGTACAATCTGCACCTTGTCACTGAGAATACCCAAATGGGTTCACTTAAAAAAAAAGTCTTTTTTTTTTTTTTTATCTTCTAAGCCAGAGGATCAAAAACAAGAACCCATCTCAATTTTCACATAACCAACCATGAAAACTAAGACATGAACACAACCCATGTAAGAATTTTCATAGAAAACGAAGATTGTAACAGAAGTACAGTGTGCTTTTGCTCAATTTATTAACTTCTTTTGGCTTTTGTATTATTTTTGTGCGGTTAAAGAGGACCTTCTTGCCTCTAGGAAACTAGCAGACAAATAATCTGAGACCGATAGAGAGAGAGAGAAAGAGGACAGACAGATTATAGATATCTATAATCTAGAGAGAGAACATGGGAAAGAGAGAGATAGAGGTTTGGATGTGGGTCCCAAATGTAAATTATGTTTTATTTTATTTTTGTTGTTGTTAGTGTTTAATTTTTAATATTATCATGATTTTTATTTTATTTTAGTTCAGTTCATGTGTGCTCAACATAGAAAAGCACTAGAATTGGTTATAAGTTGGATCAAGATATTGAGATAGGATATTGTGACACCCAAGTTATGTTACACCTATGTGACACCCAGTCAATCTCACCGTTAGATCGCTTATGTTGATCCAACGGTTATATTTATTTCCATCTTTGTATGGTCATGATTTCCCAAATTTAAAGTGAAAGCATTAAACATGGGAAATCATAACCATACAAAGGTAGAAATAAATATAAAATATTAAATTTGGGAAATCATGACCATACAAAGATGGAAATAAATATAACCGTTGGATTAACATAAGCGATCTAACGGTGAGATTGACTGGGTGTCACATGAGTGTAACATAACTTGGGTGTCACAATATCCTATGATATTTCCTACCTATTTTATAATAGTGCTGTTTATATCAACTATGAAAAACGACGGTTGAAAGTATTCAGTTTGAATTGTGCATCTTCGTTGTCATCTATTATCAAGCATATTTTCTAAGTTCTATAAGGTTTTTCAACTCAATTTATTGCTGCATTAATTTTATTTGAGATACTGAAATTGAAGTTTTCAACCTTTTATAACATTAAAGAAGACTTTGAACTAATGAATTCTAATTTAGTAGTCATAAAGAAAACTTGTAAGTAATTATGTGAGTTTTTTTTCCATCTACATGTTATTGGTTGTTGGCATGGATTAGGTGCCTGTTTGGATTTTTTTTTTTTTAAGCTAGAAGTTTCTTATAAGCATAAGTTAGGCCAAATAGATTTTGGAAAAAGTTCTTATAAGGAAAAGTTCTTTTTTTAATAATGAAGAAAAAAACTGAAAATTAAAAGCTCTTAGGAGGAGTTTTTTTTAAGCTCTTATCTGTTTTTCTTGAATTGTGTGTTTCTTTTAAAATGAAGAGTGATAAAGATAGAGAGAGATAATTTTCTTGAGATATGTGCTTTTAATTAATTTTTAAACTAAAATTTTTATGTAATTTCTAAACAGCTTTTAACTTTTTTTTTAAGTTTTTTTTTTAACTTTAGCTTATAAGTAATTTCTAGCTTAAAAATAAGAGGATCCAAATAGACTCTAGGTATATATTACTACTACCAATTTTGTAAAATTTAAAAATATTCAAGTGGTTTTGTATTTAAAAAAGAAGAAGAAGAAGATGGATTAAGATATTTTCAATCTTTTTCATCGAAATGTTTTGACCGGTACCGCATTTGCTGTCATGCAATTCTGAGCGAGTAATTAATAGATGAGGTATTAATTTATCACTTTTAGAAGACTTGTTCGTAAAAGTAAGAATATTTCAGGGTTTAAATATTGGGAAATCATGTTCTCATGTCACATGAGAACAACAAATTTTTCTACATAGATTCATTTTGTGTCAATTAATTTTTCTTTTCTTTTATAATATAAAATGTGAGACTCACATTTAATTTTTCTCTACTTTTTTAATTTCATGCAATTCTACAACATGAGAAAATATCAATCCTTAAATATTTGATGATACATAGGAATCATTCTCAGAATCTAATACGTATTAATTGTAACTATTAATGGCACTGTTTAAAATGTGGTATCTAATCATGTGCAACGCCATCCTACCTATACAGAAGTAACCATGGGCAAATGTTAAGGTTTGATGTATGTCATTTTAAAGTACATAAGTTATGTTATTTTAAAATAGAAATAGACACAAAGAATAAAATTACAGAGGAGAAAGTAAGTGATTTTTTTTAATTTAAATTTTAAATAAAGAAATATTATTTTATATCTATTTCTCTTTTAAAATAACATAATTTTATGTCATTTAAAATGACAAATACTTTTTTTGTATAATAATAAATGTTTTTCATTTTAATTTTTTAATAAAAATTATTTATAACTTATTTTCGCTTATAAATTATAACATCTTATAACTAATTTTTTTTTTTTTTTTTTTTTGATAACAACTAAATTTTAACCATTGATGATTATAATTTATCGAAACATATTTGTTAATTAATTATTAATTCTTAATAATTAATTTATTGGTTATAAGTATAGCTGTCTCTCTAATAAAAAAAATAATTAAGGATGTATGAAATACATATGGGACTAGTCCGGCATCTTTTTAGTACATGATTTTTTTTTAATTAAATCAATTTTAATTATTTGTTATTAATATGGAAGAGTCACGTAAAAAATATCAGGGAACAATCTCACATGTATTTCGTGCAAACTTCTGCATATAAATATCGCTTTTCTCAGCCCACTCCATTTCTTTCATTCCTTGACTCTCCTCTTAAAACTTTCTATCTCTACAAATTCTCTGTGCACTTTTCTCTATATAAGAGTTCTATCTTAAGTAAGTTCTCATTAACTTACTTATTTTATTTTATTTTATATTTAAATGATATGATATTAAATATTATTTAGGTTGTGTCGTGGAAGTAAATAGTGACGTCAAGATAGTTTAAATTATATTTAGTGAAGTGTTATTAAGTTAGTACATAATGTAGCGATAATAATTATCATGTTTAGGTTGTATGATGACATAAAGGTAGTAAATAATGTAGTTACATTAAGTTAGTCAAATAAAATTAATAATTAAAAAATAATTATTTTTAGGACACAAATAATAATTTATCTAGTCATGATTAAAGTTTCTTGCAACGTGTTGGTGGCAAAAATATGATAGGCCTCCGGGGTCTCCCAGCCAAGGTAGACATTAGAGACCGCTAATAAGATGTTACGATGCCAATAAAAAATAAGGCGTATACTCATTTTTTGTGTAATGTATAGATGAATAGAAGTAAAAAAAATATTCTGAAGCCTTCTTCGACTCACTTTCAATGATGGCAAAGCAATTAGTAATACCTCGATATTTTCATCTTGGATTGAGCCGATCAATAATGTCCCTCTATATTTGTCGTGAAAGTCCAAAAAACACGATAGCCACTGTCAACTAGCGATTGATTGTTTACTTGAGGCTAACACAAAGGTATTATGTTCATTGATTATTCACTTTTTTATATACAAGTATATCTCATGGTATTTTCTAATGTTGAAAATTTGGCAAATTAATAAACATAATAATCGATTGAAGCATCGAAATTATGATCCAAAATATTTTGAAACATTTGAGGACCAGTGGCGGACCCATTTGCACGCAAATGCCCGCAAGTGCGGTCATAAACTTTTGGAATTCAAATTTATTTTTTTCATTTTCTTAGTTGCAGATTTTTATTTGTCTCTTAATTCAATATATATATTAAGAGTAAATACTATTTTAAATCCCTAGCAAAAAATGTCTCCATTTTAGTTCCTTACAAAAAAAAAAATTAGTCTCGAGGTCCATAAAAAACTTAAAGTGGATCAATTTAGTTAAAATCGTGGTCTCTCACAAATTTAAAAAAGACCTATATTAATCTCTTAAAAAGACCAAAATGGGTCCACTTTGAATTTCATAGGGACTAGGTGACTACTTTTTTTTATAATGGACTAAAGTGGGGACCGAATATTTTGTTAGGGACCAAAAATGATATTTATTCTTATATTAGATTATGAGCGGATTTAAGCGTTGATTTAAAATTTCTTTACAAAAAAAAAAAATTCGAGGGCCTTGCCACTAAATGTGCGGACATAAATTTTTTTTCCTTGGTCCGCCACTGTTGAGGACCACTCTAGTTAGATAGTAGAGGAGTCACTACCATACTTAACTGCTAAGCCTTAACGCAATAACCTTGTAAATATTTCCATTCAACCGGCTCTAAATGATATTGGTATGTTTATTTATTGCATAATTATTGTAATATTATTATCTGATCATTTTATGTTAATTACTAACTTGTATGAAAAATGGCATTTGTCTAAGAACAATTAAATTTGAAAGATGATGATAAAGATGACAGTCAAGACAACACCATGGAAAATGCAAATGAAACTGAAGGCAATGTTGACAAAGTTTCATATTGATTTGATGAAGAAAGAGAGCTTAAATTTGATATAACTTCGACTCTTTGGGTAGAATTATATGTTTATATGCTACCAATTTGACTTGTTTGTTTTCTTTTGATAGTGTGACAAAAGTTAATGTTGTAGATTTGTAATATCTCAAATGTTTAAGGTGGCCTTTTTGTTAAAATTTGGGGTGGCCTAATTGACATTACATGGATTTTTCTAAGAGGATGAGCATGTTTTTCTTTTATTAATATTTTTCACCGGTAACAATGACAATGGTGTGTGATTTGTTGTTTTTTATATTATGATTGATATCATTTCTGACATGTATTTGAGTATGTTTTTGGAATTTTGAGTATAAAATAGAGAAGTTATACTTACAACATCTTACAACTATTTTTTTATTGTTAGATCAAAATCAAATAAACAATTATAAAATAACATTAAATGAGAGCCGTTGATTTAATTTTGATCATACAGTAAAAAAATGGTTGTAAGGAAAAATATGTTATAAGTATAATCTCTCTATAAAATATACATTTGTATATACTTAATTGAGTCATCCGATTCAACCACTGAATTATTGTTGAACTAATAACTCAATGACTTACTACCCTGATTATCGTCGTATGGTTAGCATCTGAGAATGATTGCATTGGTTTAGTAATAAGTTTCAAGACTGAATTAGTTGGGTAATTCTTTTTTACAATTGCACTAGTATGGTTATTGAGCCCAATGTTTCTGATTATTTCATCACAAGAAAAATGAAAGTAAACCGCATCTC